AATTTTGCACAACAAAAAACATACCTCAGTAACTGTAGGAGATTACAAATCAGAACCAAAAAGCTTAAAAAATATGACGAAATTTTAAGCTGCCTTCATAAATGCCAACAAAAAATTCCAGTCTTTTAGAATTTTGAGCGATTTCACTGTTCGGAAATTTTAAAAATTCCAGTATTTTTCATAATATGAAGCTTACACCTAGCAGCAATTCTACGAACAAACAAACGTAAAAGTCCTCAACTTTACTGCCCCAGTGGGCTGGAGTTCGTCGCTGTGAGGAATATAGACGCTGAATTTACTTTCCGTTACATTCTTGCTTGCATTGTATATTGAACTCATATTTTTCATTTCACCGGTGTATACGCGTGCATACGTCAACTGGCCACGCCGCTTGTCATGGCCAATCTGTAATGCAACAAACGCTATGCTCAGCTTCATAGCCTGTGCTTTTCTCAAAACAATTTCCATATATGTATATTTGAAATGATCAAAAATCAAAGAAAATGCTTCTCCTCAACTCTGTTCCTCTTATTTCTCAACAAAAATCGCGGTCGCTTCCCTTCCCCCCTCCCCATCCCCAGGCAATTCCTCCTGTAAATCAAACTTCTCCGCAATTTCGAATTTTTTGATCAGGCCCAAAAAAACGCATGTATTTTTCTGTCACATCTGGCGAACAGTTCATAACTTGCAAGGGAAAAAATTCATTTTTTTTTACAGTTCGTATGAATAGGATCAAAAGGCATACCTTAAATACCAAGGCGCTTAAACTGTTTTCAAAGACTCTCCTGATAAGTTCATGCCTTTCCGCTGGATGAGGAAGACAGCTGGCCACCAAGTCAAGAATTGGACTTACACTTTGCGCACATCTGCAAACAACACGATCATTGCTCAGTGTTTGTTGTTCGTTCACACATTACGAGTGGAAAAAAATCGAGTCTTGCTATGGAACTGTAATTCACGGGAAAAAGCATGTGAGATGAATAATGAACGACCTCAGGGCTGAACCACAAGCAACCGGAACTGCCTGACGAGATAAAGTGAGTCGGCGTAGAGCATTTAATGCCTCTGCATTCAATGCGCTACTACTTCCGTCACACTGCAAAAGTACTTCGGCAAAGTGATCATCGACATCCGCCAACTTTGACAGCATCTCTTCTCGTCCGTCCATCATTTGTCCGTATCTGAAAGAAACGAAGAATTCATTCAATTCATCCAGCTCCATCACTATGAGAACTAATTTTTGTTAAAAAAAAAAAAACCAATCTGGAATATTTGTGCCACTAATATGCACCTCAAGAAAAATGACAATTA